AAAGCTTATTGCCAAAACCCCCTTTTTTTTTTTTTTTTTTTTTTTTTCCATTTTATGCTTTATTATAGGAAACCGGCACGTCATGTTATATAAATTGATAAAAAGTTCGGTCGCTGGTATGTCCAAATATTTCTAGATTGGACCCACTCCGGTTCCAGTCGCATGCACACACATGCAGACCCCGGAGCACAGAGCAGCTGTGGCCCTTGAACAGATGCTCATCATCACTGCGGGCTTCACGGACTGAAGCGCCTCAAATTCCTGCGTGTTTTCACCTCACAGGTGAGGAAAAAAAAAAAAACAAGACAAAAAACCACGCAAAAAAAAACAAGACAAAAAACCACGCACTACACGTATCTCCCGCAAACTTTCAGAGAGGACACATCACTTTGAGCTGCTTCAACATCCACATTTATAACCAGATTTATAACCAGATAATTCACCGTAGAGATAATATCTATAGAGCTGAATGATGGAAACATAATTTAATTTGACTTACCGGAGCTTCACGGCGTTCAGAGAGCAAATGGGAGACTCGCTTCAAAAGAAAATAATAAATAAATAAATAAATAAAAAAACTGTGAGAGGAGAGTTGCGGCTCAGAGTGATATGCAGCAGCTGAGTCCAGGAAATAAATTAAATACCAAAAAGAAGAAGAAGAAGAAGGAACGGTCCGTGTTTCCGCCTTCCTGTGTAGAAGTTGCTCTCGTGCCTCAGTGAATGTAGCGACTTAAAGATGAGAATGGCGCCTTTCCTCTGCTTTGTCTCTCACTCTCCCCTCCCTCACTAAAACATTTTCTGCAGAATTGTGGCCGTTTCCTCTCCGGGGGCGGATCACGTAGAAAGCATTGTAAAGATGATGGTAGATACCACACACAACACACACAACACACACACCTCCCACTAAAACTGAGCCAGCTGATACGCGCTGTGTCGCTGCTTCTCTCTACATTCAGGTGCATCTCAGTAAATGCATACAAAAAAAGTTCATTTATTTTAGGAATCCAGCGCAAAAAGTGAAACTCACGTTTATATGGATTCATTATGAATTCAGTTTCACTTTTTTTTATTACATGAGACTAAGAGAACATGATTTAAATTCATAAATGTTACTGTTGTCGCAGAGTCACTCACACCCTTCACCAAGAGAGTAAACCACAGTTGTGGTAAGTTTAGTGGAAGGAAAAACATCTGAAAAAAATCCACATATACTAAACATAGCTTTGAGATGATAAAAGCAAAACTCATGAACATCATCGCATGAACATCCTTATCTACACGTGATTGTAACTTCAACTGGAGGTCAGACTCCTTATGAAGAGCACAGTCATTGGACAGTGTTCCCTCGCCTGAATGTGGGTTACAGGGGCCCCACTCTGGAGCCAGGCCTGGAGGTGGGGCATGCTGGAGAGCGCCTGGTGGCCAGGCGTTAAACCACTGAGTCGGGCTGGGCACAGTTTAAAGAGGAGATGTGGGTCCCCCTCTCAACGGGCTCACCACTTGTTTGAGGGGCCAATGGAGTCGGGTGCAAGGTTTGGTGACTGAGGGTTGGATGATCCACTACTCGGCTCTCAGGACATGGAAATGCCTCCTGTCTGGTGGGGAAGGAGCCTGAGCTGGTGTGTGAGGTTGAGAGGTTCCGGCTAGAAACATTTGGTCTCATCTCAACTCATGTTTCTGGTTCTGGCTCTGGAACCGGTCTCCTTGAGAGGGACTAGACACTCTTCCACTCTGGAGTTGAGAAAATGAGGAATAATGGAGCCGTAGATCGAGAGGTGAATCAGAGCAGAGGCTGCAGGAGAGAGGAGCCAGCTGAGGTGGATCAGTCATCTGGTTAGGTCCCTCCTGGACGCCTCCCTGGTGAGGTGTTCCAGGCTCGTCCCACCAGGAGGCGGCCCCGGGAAAGACCCAGGAGCTGGAGGGATGATGTTTCTCAGCTGTGCTGGGAACGCCTTGGGATTCCCCTGGAAGAGCTGGAACATGTGGCTGGAGAGAGGGAAGTCTGGGCCTCTGTTCTTAGGCTGCTGCCCCTGTGACCCCGAACAAGGAGAAGATGGATGGATGGATGGCATTTAGATCATTTTATGTCAGTACTCTATAACCACCATATTTTTTTACTTACTGTTGACCAGGAACTATTTTAGAAGGATAAGGGCCCCTGGGCTGGAGCCAGTGTTGGTGCCCCATCAAAAAAAAAAAAAAAAAAAAAATCAAATCTGATTTAAATGAAAGCAGTACATTAATAGGCAGGTCTAAACATCACCAGGTTTAAAATGTCCCAAGTCACATGGCTCCAGTTTTGAGTTTTTAAATATCGTCACCCTCCTAAAATAATGACCCAGGTCTCTCTGTTTTTTGTGCTCAAAAGTTACAAAAAACAAACAAACAAACAAACAAAAAAAAAAGACACCACCTTTATATTGCCAGAAGATGATTTGGGCAAAAAAGAAAAAGAAAAAGATAAAAAATAAAGGGAAATTAAAAAATCACAGTTGGCAAAAAAACAAACACTTGTGCTGTTATTATAAAAAGGTGACGATGTCAGAGTATTGTATACATAAACTAGAAAATTCCTGCAGAAATTTTAAGGGGCCTGCTAAAGTGTGCCCGTCGGTTTGGACCCAGCGTTCTGATGCTAAAAATTTGCATTAATGCTAAAGAAAGCTGCAATGTAGTCAATAACCTGTGGAGAGTCAGAAGCATGTGGACTAAGCTGTACTTGTACCATTCAGTATATTAAAATTAATGCATAAACTAAAATGTTAATGTTAGCATGAAGACTATCAGTAGCATGTGGGGCATCACTAGCATGTTCTCTGTCATTGACTTACTCCATTCAGTATACTAAACTTGGCAAATAAGTAAGAAAATGAACTAATAGGTTATTTTAGGTAAAATGCTAATGCGTGCAAGGAAGTGCACTAGTGGGTGGCAGTGAAATGCTAATGTTTGTGCTAATGTTAAACTGCCTTGCTGCGCAAGGCAGTTCACTATCCTGAGAAAACAAACATAAAAAAAGCTTAATATTATTGCACCGCCTACGGCGGTGCACTAACGTGTGGGAAGTATGCAGGCTTTTATTTTGAAACTTTCAGTAAGCTTCATTTGAAATGGCAACACTAATCCCATGTGTAACAGTGGTTTGGTTAAACCAGTTATCTAATGCCCAAAAGAGCAATTTCATGATGTAAAAATTGTAAAGGCTTTTATTTTGAAATTTTTCAGTAAGCTTCATTTGAAATGGCCACACTAATTCCATGTGTGATAGTGATCGGGTTAAATCAGTTATATAATGCTCAAAGCACAAGTAGTTCAGAATACCAGCCAACTCTTCCTCTATAGTAACAGACAGTTATGGCAGTTATGGCTGCTGGTTTGTAGTCCAAACCAGCAGCTCTGCCTTTCTCTGGATTCTGTTGCTATAGCGATGAATCCTCAGCCAACTGCTGTGTGTGTGAGACAGAAAGGTGGAGAATGATTTCCATCTTTATGAGACACCCATGAAATGCTAATGTTTGTGCTAATGTTATCCTGATAAAAAAAAAAAAAAAAAATTAAAAAAAGCTTAATATAATTGCACCGCCTTTGGCGGTGCACTGATATGAGAGCAATATGCAGGCTTTTATTTTGAAACTATCAATAAGCTTCATTTTAAATGGCCACACTAATCAAATGTGTAACAGTGGTTGGGTTAAACCAGTAATATAATGCCCAGAACATTCTGCCCTGTCTGTAGTTATAACATTCTGCTCACCCTCCTGTAAGTAAGTCAGAGTTCCACCATTATGTAGTTCTAACTGCCAGCTCAGCCCTCCTCTGTAATAATTGAGTGTTCCGCCATGTTGTAGTTCTGACCTTCTGCTCTGCCCTCTGTATTAAAGTGTTCCGCCATGTTTAGAACTACAGAGTCTTTGT